AATGTATACTCCTAACACAACTTGGCAGAAATTTTAAGAAGCAACTGTACCACAGTATATTAAGATACACATTTTGAGTTCAGTGAATTTTTATATATGGATATAAAAATATACATATAGATGTTTGTGTGTGGACATACGGAGGTTAATACAAAAAACGACCTAGTGATAGAAATATCCTGGGTCTTTTCTCCTAAGGAAAAGAGATTATGTATGTGTGTTTATAGACAGGCATGTGTTTAAGTCTTCAGGGAATGAAGACATTAAAAGGATTAATCTCTTCAACTTAATTCATCTGGTAGAACAACTTCAGTTTAACCCTGCTTCCAACAAGCACACCACTCCGTCACTTTATAGAGCACACACAGTTGTGTACAGCACCTAGAAACAGAGTAAGCACTTCATTCTCAACAGCCCCGTCTGCCTTTAGGTGTGCTCACACGTGTGCTCCTGCAAGGGCAGGAATCCCATCCATGCCAGCCCCTCTCTTACTGCACTGACCCAGGTCTCTCACCAGGACTGCAGCATCCGAGGGCTTACTCCCCATCAAATGGTTAGGTAAGAGAAAGGAGTGGGGCCAGAGTTGTGGCACAGTAGGTTAGGCTGCCTCCTGTGATGATGGCATCCCATAAGGGCACCAATTCCAGTCATAACTGCTCAACCTCTGATCCAATTTGCCACAGTTACACCTGGAAAAGCAGCAGAAGGAGGCCTGAATATTTGGGCTTCTGCCATTCATGTGGAACACCTGGACAGGAGTTCCTGGTCCCTGGCTTTGGTCTGGCCCAGCAATGATCTTGGAAACCACTTGGGGAGTGAACTATGGATGGAAGGTGTCTAGCTCCCTTTCTGAAACTCCAGCCTTTTAATAAACTAGCAAAACGGAGCAGGCAGAAGTTCCCTCTTTTATGAAGCAGGCTTGGTAGCCACACAGCATTGCTTCTGTTAGATTCTGTTTACCAGTGGGGAAATGCTACGTGTGATGCATAGTTAAGGGGGATACGAATTAGGCTCCACATTTGGGGGAAAAATGCCAAAGAATTGCAACATGTTTTTAAACCTTCACAGTGTTCAACAAACTACCAGCTATTTTAAACATGTATCAGCAAAAATGAGAGGGGGAAAATTCTGCTAGTACTGCAGACAGAAGTGAGACAGACACCCAAACAATTTTAAAACTGAAGAGCTTGCTTGAGTATCTTCCCCTACCACCAAAACGAACACATAAAAATTCCTTTATTATTACAGTTTGCTAGTCAATACCTGAAGAAGCTTATGTGTAAAAATAATACATTCTAAGAACCTTCACATCATTTGAATCACTTTGGGAAGGTGGACCATTAGTTACCCCTAATCAGAAATACTTTCTAAACATTTAAAGCACATTTCCACGCCCGGTGCGGTAGCCTAGTGGCTGAAGTCCTCGCCTTGCACCCATACGACATCCCATATGGGCACCGGTTCTTATCCCGGCAGTCCTGCTTCCCATTCAGTTCTCTGCTTGTGGCCTGGGAAAGCAGTCGAGGACAACTAAAGCCTTGGGACCCTGTACCCACGTGGAGATCTGGAAGAGGCTCTGGGCTCCTGGCTTTGGACTGGCACAGTTCCGGCCAACGTGGCCGCGTGGGGAGTGAAGTTAATCATCGGACGGAAGATCTTCCTCTCTGTCTCCTCCTATCTTTCCAATAATAAAAAAAAGTCTTTAGAAAATAAAGCGCATTTGAACAATTTTTTGATACATAAGCACTGTGAGAAAAACAAGAAAACTGTGAAAACACATCAGGGGAAAAAGACAGCAGGGTTTAGAATCCTGTGTGTTTTCTTCTTTGGTCTTTTCCCAGATGAAGCCAAAAGCCCTTGGACAGGAAGAGCCTGGATCACCATTTATCACAGAATCATACCATCCCACTGTTGTACTCATCAAGCATTATTCAAGAATACTCAGGAATGAAATGCCATGGTGCTGCCCACACAAGCTGGCACTGTACTCATCAGGAATCCCGTCAGGTCCTAGCAGTCTGCCAGAGCCAGGAAGATCTAAACCGATCCCACACTCGCATGTGACACGGTGTCCTTACTCCTGCGTCCAGGAACCACCACAGCCACGCCACGGATGTGTTCATGCATAGATACTGATCACTGGTGAATATTTAGCAACCACCCTCAGAAGACCTCCAGCGAGGGACCCAACCAAACAGCACATGGCTGCGGGGGCAGCTGAGTTTGTACCATGTGTCAGGTGTAAGACAGCTCAGAGAAGCTGATAGAGCACAGTCAGGTCAGCCGCACTCTCTCTCCATCACTAACTAGGTGTGGCTCTGGGACAGCTAGCGTAGCTGGCTAAGCTTTAATTTCATCATCTGTAAAACAAGCTGAATGGAACTGATCACAAAGGCTTGTCTGACCCTAGTCTGGCACACACTTAACATTCAAATGAAATACCATCTGCACATACTCCTGGGCACTCTCCACAGCACTTTCTAACTGCTAATCCTAAATACTTTCCAGTTTCAAGATCTGATTAACATCTCTTGACTGTAAAATTCACCAAGGCGGCGACTGCTTGATTTGCTCTCAACAGCCAACACCCGGGTGTGTACAATGGGTATTCAATAACCTGATGGTCTAGCAAACTATTCTGACAAATACAGAAAATGCTAAGATGAAAAAGCCAAATTCCAGGAATGCATGGATCAGTTCTATGCCATTAAGTCATTAAACCTAACTGCAAGACACAAACACCAGAATAATTTATTTTGTTCCATCTTAATATCTGGATCTTAACCCTGGAACAGCACTAGGGATGTGGGCCTGAGGGATGTCCATTTTTGTCTCTCGAGTTCTTTGGGTGACTAGTGACCAGTGTGGAATGAGCACTGCTGGTCTAACAAAACAGATGGACAGTGGACCCACATTTTGTAGTAGTGCTACCCAAGAGGACTTCCTGCAGTGTTAGAGAGCTTCTTCAGTTGCACAGTCCAATACAGTGGCAACGTAAGCCCTCAAAATGTAGCAAGACGCTGAGAAAATAAATTAAAAATTTTATTGAACTTTACCTAAAATTTACAAAATCAATGTTACTAGGAGTGGTTACAGACCTAGAAGGAAAGCACACGGCAGAGCTGCTAACCCATCCACAGCACGTTCCATGCACGGATGGCTGTGGCTCCCACTTAGAAGTCACAGGGGTGCAGATGGTATGCACACTTGGCACACTCTTCTTGAATGTTCCTCCTTTCACCTAGGCAGGGACCATCTCCCCCTTGTGCTACATCCTGGGCACAAGCATGCCCTCAGGTAAGTGCCGCTGTGTGTCCCTGCTCATTATGCATAAGGGGCAGAATGCATGTTGAGCAAGAACATTTGGATGAGTCACACGGAATCCTCAGCAAGGTCAGTATGTAGCATCTCTCCCTGGTGAAGCAAGTTTCCTTTCTGTGGCTCAAAGCCAAGAGCCTCAAGCCTGAGCTCCCATTACAGCTATCTGACACTTGTTCCTGAGGAGATAAGGGCTCATTAAGCCCTTTATAAAATAAGACTGCTCCAGTGTTATCTGTGAAGTAGTGGACTAAATTAGAGAAGGCTCTCAGGCTACCCATCAGGCCGCTTCTCCGCCCCCACCTGCCCTGGGCCCTCGTCTATCACGTGGCCTACAATCTTGTAAGAGCTCACTTTGTACATATTTACAATGCTTTCTTACTTTACGATGATGAATTTAAGTTTTATGGAAGCTAAGTAACCTGCCTGACTTTAACATCATGACAAAACTGGAATTCACACTAGGTTCCCCTCTTAACCAGTTACAATTGTTTACCAATTTCCATTTGTTTTGTTCTTCCAAATCACAATAAATGCTCCAGTGGCCCTCCTATTTACATATTTTGTGACACCCCTCGTATTTACATATCTTTTCTAGTCCTAACACACAGAACTATGGAAAGGGCATTCATGTTTTGTAGCATTGGATAAATTACTGAAAAGTGCATTTACCCAGTAACCAGCATCAAAATCAAGAAACAGGAACTTCAGCACCTCCAGAACCCTCCTTACGGGATCTCCCCGTGCACACATCTTTAACTCTACGTGTCTTTCAAAGAGCTGACATCTACAAAGGACCTAGCACATTGTAGGCACTCATTAAAATCAAACAAAGGATAGGTGTGATAATTAGGTATGTAATTGAGGCCAAGACTCAAAGCTACATTTGGTTACCACATGACCAGAAGACAATTATTTATCTACCTTAACTAATGTTAGACCTTAATTGGATATAAAGAAATTAGGGAGTAGTATCAAAACCCCAGAAGGCAAGATGTGTCAAAAATCAGCATTAGGGAGGTCTCAAGGGGTGGACAGCACTAGAGAAAACAAGAGACTGTTTTTCAGTATGGTTAAGCTAGTGGTTCTTGAGGAGTGGGGGGTGTGGAGTATTTGAGGGCTGAGTTCCGCCTTGCTCATGTTCCATTTGGCTCTATATTTGTGCAACAATAAAATTAAGAGGAACAGGCATTCACTGAGTTCCACTGATGGTCAGCCTCCTTAAAGAGACATTGAGCCTCTTCAACAACTCTGCAGTAACAGCAAGAAAGTGAAACAACCAGCTCGCAGGAAAGCCCCCGCTGTCCAACACAAAGACCTGAACTTAACCTTGTTCTGCATCCATCTCACTGCACACTCACGGCCAACACTGAGTTGCAAGTGCATACAGGTGCAGTGAAGAAGGAAAAGTGCATCCTCTGCTTAACCGAGGCCAAGCTGCAGACGCCCAACTACGAAACGTGGAAAAAAAATCCAGACAACTAATGTTTTCACCTTACTGTGGAAACACTAACTGGTTGTGCCGAGAGGAGCGATTAAAAAGGCAAAAATGCCTCAACATCTTTGAACCACTTACTTTTACATTTGCATCAAATCTTCTATCAATGTAACATCCCGTAAGTAACAAAGTGAAGTGCAGACTTTGTTGAGAACGCCCGTGATCTGACCTGCTAGGTGCTTACCTTGACCAGAATTATATATTGCCTTCACAGACTTCTTCACCTTTTGCAGAGCTGTCCTATCTTGGTCTAAAGCCTGAAAGAAAAGAACGGGGAAAAAGGATGTTGGCAAATTTGGTCAAGACAGCAAATAAGAGAAACAGCCATAGTTGTTTTGCTGAGCACCAAGGCAATGACAAACGGACACATTTACTAAAAACCAACAATTTCAGAGACATTTCACCCATTATGTTTCAGAATAAAATAATGGAGTCATTCCACAAAGCTCAGCACTGCGTGATACGGAGAACACAGGAATCAGTCAGTTACCATGCTAAGCTCAGCTAGAACAGGAGAGATACAGGACATCTACAAATCCCAAGACTTGTTCACTTTGTTGTGAATTTACAACCCAGTAAGCGAAAAAGGAAAGTAAGCCTAAGACATGATTGGCACAGCAGCCAGGGGACAGAATGCATCTTTTCACCTCGTGACAATTTTGAACAGAAAGGAACACTTGAAGGGGTGGAATAAGTTAGAAATGACCTTTTAAGAGCTTTTCCCAGCACCTTTAAATTTGAGGATTTCTTTTACTGCTAAAGAAAAATTAACCATGACATGTGGTAATTTATTTTAAGAAATCTGTTTACTAATGAACATGGTATAGAAAATGCTATTGGCATGCCAATAATGCTTTTAAATGATATCATTAATATGCATTTAACAGCTACATCAATCTACTTACGCTAATCTAGAAAACTATTGGTGTAGTTAATTGAGGAGACAGACATACAGATATGTTTGTTAGAATTTTCTCTTAAAATTCAATAAGCTATTCACTCAGAATATTATTTTATGAATGTGCTAGATTTCCAAAGCTTTAAAAGGAGAGGGATAGTATATAAAAGGTCTTGAAAAAAATCATGAAAAAAAAACCTATTATTATTAAAGTATGAATGGAATTCAAAGTATTTTGTGTGTGTGTGCCCAAACAAGTATCTCTTAATTCCATTCCCCTCCCCCACCCCCCCATGAACTTCCTGAAGTACTACTATGCAAATGGCACATGGAAGTAACTGTTAAAATAACTTCAAGCCTCCCTGGGCTTCCAAGAACTCTGTGGTTCACAGACTGGGACTTTCTGGATGCTGACTCAAGACATGGAATGCATAAGGGGTAACAGCAAAAAACAATGAACACTGCAATAGAAGAGATGTTTGGATACAGTAGTTAAGATGTTGCTGGGATAGCTACATCACCCATTACAGTACCTGGGTTTCAGCCCCAGCTGTACAATCAATTCCAGCTTCCCAATGACCCAGTCCCTGGAGACAGCTGGTGAGTGCTCAAGTGCTTAGTTCCTGCTACCCAGACGGGAGACTCAGACTGACTTCCTGGCTGTTCTACTTAGGAAGGCATCTGAAGAATAAACCGGAAGGGAGATCCCTTCTGGCCTCTTTCAAATTAAATAAATCAAATCTTACAACCTATTACATACATACTCACACCAGAACATGAACTAAATTTCAGAACCTTAGACAAGAAAACTAAAGCCTGCAGAGGTTAACTAACAACTTCCCTGAATGTCATACACGAAGTGGAAAAGAATAAATGCAAAGGTTATCATTGTCCATGTGGAAATGTTCTTTCTTGCCATTGTAACATAGTGGACTGCTGTTTCCCTTCAGGTCCTCTTCTCTAGGATGGTCAGGTGAACATCTGACCCATGTTGGGCTCAGAGATTCCATCTGAGGATTTCTGGACTTGTAGGCACAGACCTTAAGTGCTCAGCCTCTTTCTATATCATTCTGGGACCACCGGGAGTTCTAGCCATGCTTGCATCGAGGCATCTGGTCAGCCAGAATGACATTAACAGACAGTGCACCAGGACAAGAGAGGAGTGCCTGTTTCCAACTGTCCCAAGCCATTTAGCACTGCTAAGCTTTCTGTACCCAGAGTACTTGAGGCAATAAATCCATTTTTTCCCAAGTCAGCTTACATTGATAGTCTGTTACTTGCGATCACAAACGCTTAACTAAAATTTCTTCAGCACTTTTTATGTACTAGGCACAATACCTGCTATATGAGACATATTAAAAACTATATATACATCTGCTTTCCATCAGCTCACTTACGTTGCATCTTTATAAAAACCTTGAGAAGTATCATTTCTGTTTTTCAGATAACCTAATGAGCTTTAACAAATATTTGCAGAAAGGGAATAAGCCCAAGATTAAACAACTTGTCCAAGCTCACAGAGCCAGAAAGTACTAGCCACATTTTACACTAATGTCTGCTAATCTCAAAACCAAGCTTTTATTACTGTGACGAAAGCCAGGATTTTTGCACTGCAAGTCTATCTCTACTACGTCTATTCACTTACATTCAATTTGTACTACTTCTTGTCACAGCTACTGCTCACTCAAGACTGTATCATACTCAATAACTAATCAGGACCACTCACCATTAGTAGAAGGTACTGTTAAAATGATTTTGTCTAACTTGTAGAGAAAATTTTCATCTGTTTAGTACCTCTAGTCATCTCACAATCAGTAACAATGGACATCCTGCTTAAGAAAATATTTTACAGCAGCTTCAGGTGAGATTAAAAAAACTCAATTTATGCAAAGATTTACGAGTTGTAGTTGAGAGAAAAAAAATAACTAATATTTACTAAATGCTTAGCATGATCCAGAAAGCTTGTCCACAGGTTTATATGCACCACACTCATGAATGCGATTTAGTCATCTCTTTCTCATAAAAATCCTATGAAATACATACTAAAACTACACATTTTATAAGTGAGGGAGCAGAGTCTTACAAAGGTTAGCCTCCCCAAGGGCACAGAGCTGGGATTTAAAGCAGATCTTTAACAACAGAGTTCAGATCTAACCACTACCTGATTCTGCATTCCAACCCTATCTGGGATGAGTGGAAAGTAAAAATGCAGTGTCATTATATGGGGGTGGGGGTGGGGAGGCACCTATCAGCTTTAAAAGATACACTTGAGCTAAATCATAAAAGCATCTGAATTGCTCAGAGAGTAAAGGACCTTAACATAATGCTAAGAGTACAATCATCTAACAGAGCGAATGCAATCGGGTTTACCCTTTGAGAGACTGTTTTCATGACAAGGACATTTAAAAATAATCCAACAGGCATGTTTTTACATACATATTATAGCCTTTTTATCTGATGAAAAAGTTTAGGCTTTAGAGAAGTAAAACAGTTTGCCAAGCGTCACAGACCAAGTAAGAGATAAAACAATCCAAAATTGTTTAACTACGCCACCTATACATTATAGAAGCCACACCTAAGTTAATTATTTTTTAAAGGGCCGTTTCTAAAAGAAAATAAGCTAACAGTTTAGGCTGAAACTAATGAGCACCTAAGGACAGATCTACTTCAAAAAGAAGTTAGCAAGCAGGCTTTAATGCTTACACGCTCGAGGATCATGAATCTGCACGAACCAAGTGAGGAGGAAGGTTTCAGTCACAGCACTTCATGAGATCATCTATGTACTTCTGAGTTTACTGACTGCTTTACCAACCCATCGAGGAACTGGGAGGGTGGTAAAGGTCATTTTTAAAGGATGTTAACAACAGCATTCCCATGTGTCAGCTGCAGTCACAGGGAACAACGGGTGACACTTCTTTTTTTTAAGGGCCAGTATGTGGCCACTGGTAAAAAGAAGTCAAACAAAATTCACTTTAAACAGCTCTGTGATCTAGAAAGGGCTAAATCATCTGCCTAAGCTCCTTCTAGAAATAACACATCTAAATGTGCCACCTTGCACCACCTCTCTCCACTGCCAGACAAGAGACTGTAGTCACATCCTCAGAAATGTCACATGCATGAAGTCCAAACAGACTAAAGGGAAATGGCAGACCTATGAGCCAAAAGCAACTCTCTTAAACTGTTAAGTCTGATAACATATATAACTTCATTTCTAAGTGTACATCTGAAATTAGACAGCTCAAAAAAAAAATGGGAAAGTATCTGCACTGCGCCAGGAGCTCCCAGGATCATTCCTATCCTCAACTCCTACAGTCACAGAGGAAGAAGGGGTTTGGGAAGCAGCATGAAAGACAAGTCAAGGCAGAGAGGCAGAGCAGAAGCCAGAGCTGGAAGCCCAGCCCCCTTCTAAAGTAGTCTGAGTAGTGAAGCATGAGACGCTTCACCCTGTGCGACAATCTGAGCACACCAGCAGTCGCAGGAGGGCTAGGTCAGGAAGTGACAGCCCAGAATACCTGCCAACAGAAGGAAGAGGGACATGGCAACAATAGTGTACATGAAAAGAAGGGGGGAAAGATGCTATCACTTGTTAGTTTCAAGATTAATAAGAGCTGATTGAATCTGCAATACAAGGGGGAAATCATCACCCCAAAATAAGAGCTGATTTGCATAAAACAGCAAAAAATGGAAAGTTAATTCATCATCTACAAATACAGATTTCACACTGTCTATCTGGACTGTTTGAGACTTTAAGAAAGCTCCTTAAGATTCAGACTCTTGTGAATTCAGACTTCAATTGGAAACACTCAACGTCCTCCACCATTCCTGTAGCTGAATGACACGCTGGCAGAATGTGATCTGCAAACAGCAAGGATTTCTTGAGGCTTAGGGCCCACTTGAAAAGCTCCTTCGTAACTCAGATCTGAGGCAAAGATGTAATGGGCCACTTGCAGTGGTGTTTCTTCCAACCACTTGAGGGAAGTGCCACCTTCCCTAAGGTACCTAAAGCACCATCTTAAAAAAAAATTTTTTTTGGCACGTATGACATATGGGGAAATGCTCACTTTCTAATTTCTCCACCAATGCCTTTCTAGACCTTTCAGGTCAGTCCTGTTACCAATCACAACCAGTCACTCCATGCATGCCATGAAGAGAACCTGCTCCACCTCTGATGCAAAAGCTCATTCCCTGCGCCTCTTCACTAGAATTCTGCCTGGTCCCTCAACATTTGATACAAAGTCACCACCAGGAGTAACTGCTGTTCTAAGTGAGCATCAGTGTTCCAGCCATCAGCTACCACTGGGTAATGGGTCTCGTCTCTGCATCTCGAAAGCAGAATCCAGCACTGGAGCCAGGCCCAAC